GCTTAATTTGTCTTAAAATCAAAAGATGAAGAAGTTATGAAAGATTAAAGAAAATGGGTTTTAAGTGAATTTTTGGAAAAGAGTTGATAAGTTGAATTTGAAACTAAATTTAACTTGTCATCAACTTAATTAAGAGATATGAAGTGATAGAATTGGATTTAGAGCATCTTGAAAATTTGGTATGATTATTGATTTCCATATGAAAGATGGAATTTTGAGGTTAAAGATGAGATAAATTGATATATATGAGTTTAAGCATGTGTATGTGAGTTAAGGATATGAAAGGGGTTGAAATATGACACAATTAAGTTAGAAGGAAGTAATTTTCGTGCATAAATGGGAATTTTGGACTAGTGTGCATCGATACACATTCAACATGTACCGATGCATCAAGGGTAAATTTCCAAAAATTATTCAGTGTGTATCGATGCACACAGGTAGGCATCGATGCATGGGAATTTCGAAGCTATTTTGTGTACCGATGCACCCATAGTGCATCGATACATCCCTAAAGGAAAAATGAAATTTTGATTCATTAAACTAGCTTAAGTTATTAACATCAAGTTATAAGGTTTAGGCTTCTGATAATTGTCTCAAAAATTATGTTCATGTAGATATTGAGCCTAAACAAGTTCCGGAACAATCAAATAATTAGGATCGAATCAAAGCAAGGCTAAGGTGAGTACAATTTAATTTGTACTTAGGTTTTTGAACAACCATTGGCTTGCGATGAGCCAGTGACGGAGTTACTATGGTAAGAAGTGACTCCTAAAATGTTATTTGATTTGGAATTGATATGATGTTTATGTGTGCATGATTACATGAAAGTGGGTATATGTGTCATATGTTATTATATATGATATTGATATACGGACTAGATGAAAGTATAAACATGAATACATGTATAAATTTATATGTTATTCTATGTGCTATGTGATGTATATATGAACATATGTGAATAAGTATGATATACATGTTTACATGAACCCATGATAAATGATATGATCTATGTGATTACATGCACATGTGATATATGTTACAGGATATGAACCTATGTGATACATGTTATATGAAATGACACAGATGTTTACACATACATGTGGTATGTGACAGAAGAAAAGGTATATATGATCACAAGAGAAATGACATGAGTACATGAACATATGAAACATAAGAATAATGCCCATGGTATATGATACGAGAGCTATAGGTATAGTTGGCATACCAAGAGTCGAGAGTCTACGCGGTCCTTCGGGACAAATACATAGGTCCTTCAGGACAAATACATAGGTCATTCGGGACAAAGTTCATATGCCATTCAGTGGGACTTATGCGAGTTGTGGTGACAACATAAGTGCACAACCTCAATGTACTCGAATACCTTAAGTTCTCAATAATTTACATGGGCTAATAAAGAGATAATCCTGGATATAATGTACATAATATATATATATATATATGATGTGTAATATGAACTGTATGAAATGATATATGTGTGTTATAAGTTATTGCATCTATTATAAGAATGAGATATAAGATATATGATAAGAACATAAGAGATTATATGAACAAGAGATAAGAAATATGAATGATAATAGTAAATGAATATGATAGGAACATAAATGATGATAGTGATTGTGTATATATATATATATATATATATATATATATATATATATATATATATATGCATGTATGTTTTTTGTTATCTGAAATGTTCTATGGTTTATTATATGTTTTATATTCTTCACTAAGTTAACGACTTAGCGTGTGATTGTTTCACACGTAGGTTCCGAGAAGAGGAAGATTGATAAAAGTTATGCAAGACAGGTCAGTTTTTCCTTTCCAAAGATCAGATCAGAAAAGAAGTTAATAGTATTTGAATATGATATGTTCTAAATGGTTTGTAAAATCATATGATTGAGTTTTGTAATGTTTTAAATGTGTATATGTAAATGGTATTGTTCTTGGTATTGTTCATACCGTAAAGTATTGTTCATAAATACGTTTTTGACTTAAATTTTTATAATGAAACAAAATTTAATAGTATTTATTTTTATTTTCTTAATATGAATTCAAATGTTTTGTTATTTTGTAAGAATATTGTTTTAAAAAAAATAAATGTGACATCTCGAACTCGTATTCGGGTCGGGTACGGGTTGGGGTGTTACACCTTGGCTATTAAAAGTTATCAAATGGTCCATCGACTGTAGGGAGTTTCTTTGTTGAGTCCCTCGACTGTTAAAAGTTACAAAATAATCACCTAACTATTCATTATGTTCCAAACTCGTTCTTTTTTATTAAAATTTTGATGGTAGTCTGAGATATATCCTAACCTGCTGATTGAAATATGATAAAATATGATCCCATAATCTCAAATGACTATCATATCTCAATCAACATGTTAAAGTTCAGCTCAGAAGATCGTTAATTTTTTAATAAAAAAGGACGAGTTTGAAACACAATGAATAATTGAGTGACTATTTTGTAATTTTTAATAGTCAAGAGACTCAACAAAACAACTTGCTATAATCAAATGATCATTTTGTAACTTTTAATAGCAAATCAACTATTTTTCAACCATTTTTATCTAAATTTGAAAGAAAAATCTTAAACCCATTTTTCAAGTTTAATAATTTAACCCTCATGATATTCAATTTTATATTTTTTCTATAGATTTTTATTGAAATATATTTTCATTTCCTGAAATTTAATAAGTTCAAGTCCGCCCCTCAAAAATTTTAAATGTTCAATTTCACCCCTAACATAAAAATTTGCGTTTGTTGCTGCCTTAGATTTAAAACTAATAAGTTTTACACTAATTTATAGTCATTAGATTTTAATAAATAAATGTTTTAGATTTAATTAAAAAATTAAAACCCATAAAAATATATTTTAACTCACCATAAAACAATATCTTTTTTTATCTCAACCTCAAAATCCTAAACCCTAAACTATAAATCTTAAATCTCAAACCCTAAACCCTCGAGTTTAAATTTTAACCCTAAATCCTAATCTCTAAACATAAAAAGAAAAAATAATATTGTTTTTCTACGTGTTAAAGAAATATTTATTTATGTGTTATAAATTTTAATTAAATCTAAGTCATTTATTTATTTAAATCTAAGCCAATTACATAGTGTAAAATTAAAAAAAAAGACACCTTTTTAAGATAGTTGGATGAGGAGAAATCAAATACTGATATTAACAGTAGTGAATTAGAAGATCTTCACTGAAAAAATACAATGAATTAATTCCAACTTTTATTCTCTCATCCAACGACCAAGGAGTTTTACACAATGTAATTAGATTCGGCATATATATATATATATATATATATATATATATATATATATATATATATAAACGGTAAAGATGAAGAACTTTCTTGATATTCTAACTAATGTCTTCTAATAATTGGAATACTAAGCAGCTAGAGCCACGTAGTCACATTTTTTATCCGAAAATGAAGCTAATGCCAACAACTTGAAGACGAAAGATATGAAAATGAAATTGCATCACTTGGGAAGAGCATAGTACCGACGAAATTCCGTTTACTTTTCAAACCACCACTAATCACTCCCTATATAATCGGATAAACTACATTAGATATCACTGTACTTTTAATTTTATCAATTATAACACTAAACTTCTATTTCCATTTCAATTATATCTAGGGATGGGCATGAGACCCGAACCTCATGGGTTTCGACCCGACCCTATAGGATCGGATTTTAAAAAAAACTTCAGGTTCGGATCAGGTCAGATTTTTTTTAAGGTTATGTTTGGGTCGGGTTGGTTTCGGGCTCAGGGTGAAAAAATATGACCCGAAAAAATTGCATTTTTACCTTATATATTTAGGGATAGTTATAATAATACCCCTATATATTATTTTCTTTCAATTAATTTCCTATTTTTTATTGAATAAAAGTAATATTTTTGAAATAAATATATTATTTCCAGTCGACGGAAGATTTATAATTTTCGGATCGAGTCAGGTGGACCAAAAATCCGACCCGAGTCATGCCCATCCCTAATTATACAGCTTAATCGTTAAATCATTAACAACACAATAACGTGGCTAACGACTACCGACGTGATTAACGGTTGTCGATGTAAAATCCTCACTAAAACGATGTCGTTTTGATTTGGGTGTTAACGATTTAATGGCTCAATGATATATTTGAAACAAAAATTAAAATTCAATACGATAATTGAAAAAAATTAAAAATTGTATAAACGATACATCACCTAAAATTTGATAGTATCTCACGTAGTTTACCCTGTATAATATATCCACGAGTCGTTAACGGAATATTGAGGAAACTTCTGCATACTATTTTACCGACGAAACTACTAAAGGTTTTTTTTTTCAATTTACAATGATAGATGATGTCATTTTGTCAACAAATTACGTATAATTTTATGTTGTGTCATATATAAATACGAAAAATATAAATAAAAAATTAAGTAGTTATGTATCATTATCGATGTTTCGTGTGATTCCTCACTACTAGCTGTATGTATGGCTGGTTAACCCTAATTAATAATAATAACTTTGATTCATCCAATTTTGCTTAATAAATTGTTTAATGTTATGCCACTTAACAATCACTCAACCTTAGCTGGTGCTTTGCAAATTATGAAGATTCGTTGAGAAAAATGTTACCCACGTCTTTGTCATTTTCCATTGGAATTTTTCTTGTGCACATTTTCGTTCCTTGGTAGTTTATGTGTTGATTTTTTTTCAATTACAAGTAATAATTTCCATATTTTCTTATAAATCAATCTTTTTATCAATGTTGATGTTCGATAGAAGAGGTGATGATTGTAGATATCGATGATAGTTCATTCTTTTGATTTAGATGAAAAGCTTCAAGTGATAATGTCCATGGGGAGAGTCAAGCATGGTGACATACCCGACTCAAATGATGTGGTGATCCTGTACTATTTCTAAAAATGAGACCCTTAAAATATTTTATAATAAAGATTTATTTGTCAATTTTAAAATTAGGAGGGATCTACAAGGTTTCTTTTACCAAAATTCATCATGAAAAATAATTAAAGATATTGTCAAAATTTCTGTTTGTAACTTTCCCTATCATTTTCTCGAGAATCAAAAGGAAAGTTTATTTTCTCTTCAAACGTAAATATCGTCGGGCCATAAATATTATACATGGACGAGCCTAAATGACATTCATGTGTGGGACTCCTAAATTTTTGGAACCATGTGACGGATCACATTCTACACTTGTCATTGGACGGGCCTATATGGTGGGTATCCTAGGAGAGTTGTAGTAGTGCTTTCAAAAAGAAGAAAGAAACTCTTGGATCAAGGACGGATGAAAAAAAATATTTTAGGAGGTGAACTTGAACGTATAAAATTCTAAGAGGGCAAACTTGAACTTATAAAATTTCAAAGGGCGAAAACAAATTTTCAATAGAAAATACATAGAAAAAATTTAAAATATATTATAATTTTAAATTTTCATAGGACCACTGTCCCCACCCGCTCACTCGATCTATCCCTATCTAGAACACAACTTACCATTCTTCATTCAAATCAAAAGAAATTATCAATATTGACACTTACAATAGTCATCTCTCCCGTTGAAGATCAACATTCATCAAATTAAATTTACTTATAATTTCTGATTTTTATTAATTATTTTTATATTCCACTTGTCTATTTCCATTATAACACATATTTTATATATCTTAAAACTATGTAACTATAACAAATTATTCGTTGATATAGTAGAATAAGATATTACGTTTCTAAGTAAGATTAAGAGTAGGAATAAAATGTAGGTTTAACTTCAACATTACAACGATCATACTCATGATATTAATTCCATGCCTTTGTGTTTCAATTATTCACCTAAATCTAATTAATTAATTATACGCCTTCCTTCACAAGCAAAAAGATAATGTAAAAGTAGGGATTTGATTAAAAGAGTAAGAGGATAAGGTTGTTGGAATGTCGCCGATGAATATTCCAAGCTGATAGTTACATCTCTAGTTAGAGATAGTTGATAATTCGAATCGTAGATCCGTATATTTATAGTATCTGTTCGAAACGCTTTTAACCATTTGATAATAAACGATTAAACACTCATACAAATGTTGTACTTGAACCCGGAACTCCAGAGATAACAACCATCCCTTATCATTGAAGTTGCTTAATTCGTTTACTATGATCCTCATTTAAAATTGATCCTTAAAATTTTAAACATTATAATCTCATCTCCAAATTATGATTCTCATTATAAATTAGTTATTAAACGGATTAAAACTGATAGTTTAGTACTAAATGCATAATTTGTCCGTTCCTAAATTGTGTTGCAAGGGCTAAATCGAAATTTTCATTTTCGACGAGGATCGAAATACGATTTCACCGCTTCAGCACTGGATGCTACAATTTCACCTAATCGATGTGGGATTCAATTTTAGTACTTAATGATGCAAATTTTTAACCATATAATATATAGTTAGCAGTCGTAGAGCATGAAATTTTCTAAGAGAAAGGACAGCTAAGTAACTCAAATGTTAGGCGGCTCCTCTTTCTCCATGGAAAAAAGTGACTTATTCTCTTTGGAATTGGCCATTAGAGCTGTAAAAAGTTATTCCGACCTGTAAAACTGACTGAAACCGACTCGGTTGAAACTCGGACAATACTGCATTTTTATAAAGAAAGATGGGAAATAAAATGCGAGCGGCCTCTTCATCAGAGCATGGGAACGACAAGGAAACTTCCCCCAATTATCCAGTTTTAGCATTGAATTAACTTTGGCTGAGGTACGATTGTGATATAGAAAAATAAATAAATAAATAAATAAAAGCCAAATGGCAAAACTATACACGTAAAGTTCAATGGGACCTCATACTTTGCCAATTTTCAACTCCTAATAATACTTTTTAAGAGCCTTCATCCATCTGCTCGTCTGCCGATAATAATTCAACAAACTTAGTTCATAAAGTAATAAATGAAAGATTGTTCGGATTGAATTTGAGTTCACAAAAAATTTAAAATAAATTAAATTTGTTCGAATTTGAATTCGATAATCATGTTTAACATAAAAAATTAAACTCGGTTTTCATAAAATAAACAAATCGAATCAAACTAGTTCAAGAAATTCATTCGAACTAAAGATTAAAAACGAAACTTAATCAAACTCGAATCGAATGTCGGGTTAAAGTCTAATTGTATCCCTAACTTGAATTTGAAGCAATCGTTCCAATTTGAAGGGGATCATTGTTGTTACCCGCTCACTAAAAATGTTTGTCCTACATGTATCTTCTCTAAGGGCAAGCATTTAATTAGTGTCCCAATACTAATAGTCATTCCTCATATTTTATAGGTATTTAAGAAATATAGTTTAAAAACTTATTAAACTACTTCAATAGTTAGTGAGAGTGTTATTTTCCTTAGAGGTTTTAAGTTTGAGTAGGTTATGTTTGTAGCATGTATATGTGTCCATTATCGATTGATTAAGAAAATTCTTAATAGATGCTACCTTTTAATCACCTCATCTCAATAAAAAGGAAAATATAACTTGAACGTGTGAGTTTGAGAAACATAAATAAAATTTTGTTTATAAAACAGGGATGTAATCAAGTATATTTAGGTTTGTGTGTGTGTGTATATATATATATATATATTATATTTTTAAAAATCCATTTTTGGTATGATAATATTATTGAATTGCCCGTCCAGCTCATTTGGTTAGAGCGCAAGACTCTTAACCTTGTGGTCGTGGGATTGAGTCCCACGGGGGGCAATTCATAATTCTGACTGCCGGAGGTCTCCCACAGAAGTTGCTCTCAACCTGGCGTTGGGGGCAGCCTACTATCCTACCTCCCCCTTATCCCATTACATATGGGAATAGGGTCAGCTAAGCTATATTATTAGTTGTTAAAATATTTATTCTATTTAATCTAATATTTAATATTGATATGGGTAACCATTGGAGAATTTTGGGCTCAAGCTAGGGTACTTATCCATTTGAGGGATCTAATTGGAAGCCCAAGCCCACAATGTTCATTTAACTGATTTCTTTAGATTAATAATGGGTGGAGTCATGGGATGTCTTACTGTTATATAAAATTAATTTCTTAATATTAAAAAAATTCATTGAAAATGCAACAATATTAATATGATTAATGAAATAATTTTGTCGTATTTTTAATTTTTATTTAGACAAACTAATATTTTTATTGGCTCAGACAATAATATTTTTCTGGATTCGTAACTACAAATATTCGAAGTGTGTTCAAAACACTAACTCCAACATCGTATAATTAACCTTATGTTTAGAAACGGTGACGTTACATTCCTTATCCGTGTATCTTTTAAGGAGAAGATAATGATCTTGTGATAAATGATATTCTTTTTAATCGAATATAATTTAAAATCGACAGGACCGGATTTCTGTCTGCCCATAGTTTCACAGTTGGTAGAGAAGAATTGCAAGGAAGGAAAGGTAATTATGAAACTTAAAGTTCGGGAAGCATTTTTGATAAATGCATGGCAAAGTAGTTGAAACCCTAAATTGTACACATGCAGATGATGGAGCCTGCTCTCTGGTTCTCCTCATTTACTGCAAAACATTTAGGGTTTGGATCAATTAATGTAATGAATTAATGCATCGACCAGCAACAAACACAAAATTTGCTGCACTTCTTTGTAATAACTTGTTCAACCGATTCACTACCCATGTAAGTGGACTCCCTAATCCATGCTCGCGTAGAGATGAATAAAACTCGATTCGACTTGAAAAATCAGTTTTAATCACTCGTCACTCAACTATCTTCTCACTCTTATTTTAGTACTAAAGTTTAAAAAATTTCAATTTAACTACTCAACTTTCAAATTACTCTTATTTTAATCACTCTAATTTATTTTATTAATAATTTTTGTAACATGACATTTATTATTATTATTTTTAATATATAATTAAAAATGAAAAAATTTTAATTTGAAAGTAAGAGTGATTAAATTAGTAGTAATTTGAATGTTAAGTAATTAAATTAAATAAATTAAACTTTAGTGACTAAAATAAGAGTGAGAAGATAGTTAAGTGATGAATGATGCAATTTACCCATGAAAAAGGTGTCACGTGCAAATCACCCGTTAAATTTTTAATGGCGAGGTACTAAAACGAAACAAAAACTAAATGTAATGTATGATTTTGCAAAAATTGAAAGTTTAGGCACTAAAACAGATCAAAACTGATAATTTATGTATTAAACGCTTATTTTATCCAAAAATTTAATTTGAACTTTGAGATTTAAAAAAGGTAGACATATGAAATTAGGTGAACTGCAATGGATGTATTTATGGTTTAGGGTATAGTACCTTTGAACTTCTAAATTGGTTATAATTAATCACTGTTTCAGGGTATCTAATGCCATGTACAATGCTATAGGTGCCCTTATTTTTACCCATTGGCACCATCATATTAACTAACTAGGTGGACCTATTTCATGTGCTACAATTTCTTCATGTGTACTTTTAGCTATATGTTTTTTTTCAGCATAGTAATTAATAATAAGATTAACTCTCATATTATGAACCTCGTTAAAACCCTTCTTAATCCTAAACTGAAAAAAGAGTATTTAAAACGTTTTCGAGTATGATTTTCGATATATTCTTCGGCTTTTAAGTTGTGTTTAAGAAGATAAAATATAAAAATAAAACTGGTCACAAGTTCACAATTGAAGTCCGATGTGGTCTCTATGTTGTCAATAAATATAACTTTTCAAGAGTTAGAAGATGGATTAGAATAACCGGGGTAAATTACGCGTTTAGCATTGGTCCGTTTTAGTATCTAAACTCTTAATATTTTTAAAATCATACCCAAAGTTTAGTTTTTATTTCACTTTAGTATCCCGTTCAAACTTTAACGTTAAGTTTTGAAAAAAATTAAAAGTTTAGGTACTAAAACTGACCAAAACTATATAAATTTATATGAATTTTTTTTTGATAAAAGAATCTCAGACAAATAGAGAAATTTACTATATCAATAGAAAATATAAAAGTCGTATAGTCCAGACTCTCCTCCTATTTTGTTGACCCTTGTCTTGTCTTTATTAATATATTTATTGTCTAATTCTTTTTATAGTCTGAAATGATCGTAAGACAATATCAGTTTAGTTTGTATCATCTAAATTTAAATAAGTGTTTTATAAATAAATAGATTTTACAATGATTTTAATAAAAAAATTAATACAAGAAGTATAGTTATGTATGGATGGCATGTACAATAAAGCTCGTATCACGAAACTCTATTCCAGACATTATAAATATTTATTTTATTTCTCGATTTATTTATTTATTTATCATACGAATCATATCATAAACTTTTCAATCATATTAAAATATTTTAAGTCATAAACCCTAATATTCAACTATTTATTTTAAGGGTAAAGTACATAAATGGTCTCTCGACTATAGAGTACTATTTTATTACATCTCTCGACTGTTAAAAGTTATAAAATAGTCCTTACTGTAGAATGTTGTTCTGTTAAGTCCCTCGAGTATTAAAATTTACAAAAATGATCACCTGACTATTAAAATTTACAAAATGATCACCCGAATATTCATTATGTTTCAAACTCGACCATTATCGTTAAAAATTGTCAAATTTTTAAGCTGAACGTTAATATGATGATTGCGATATGATAGTCGTTTAAGATTCTATGATCAAATTTTATCACATCACAATTAGCAGTTGACGTTCAGCTTAGAATATTGTCAATTTTTTAATGGAAAAGACGAGTTTTGAATATAATAAATAGTCGGGTGTTAATTTTATAACTTTCAATAGTCGATGGATTTAATGAAACAATATCATATAATCGGGGGACTATTTGTGTACTTTACCCTAATTTTAAATTCTTATATATCATGCAAATTTAAGTCGGAGAAAAGAGGGAGTTGGAGGAATTTATGGAGAACTTTCAACAATTTAAAGAGGGGGTTGGATTTTGAAGGTGTCATGTTTAGTTCAGTTGAAAATGTTTAATAACAAGCGAAGCAAGATTTTGGGGTGCATTAAAGTGATATCTACTTGCCACTTTTAATGTTTGGGTTGTCCTCCTTTTAATGGTGCTTGATCAACCCAATTTATGAAACCCCCCTCCCTTAAGTATTCATTCTTCCCCTTCTTCCATTGCCTCTTACCTGTTTGATGATTTTCCCCAAAGAGTTTTAGAAGCTTGTCATTGTGTTATGGAACTCACAGAGTTGTCCTTGGCCTCCAACCAATGTGTTCCAGCTGAAAAAACATGCAATTTCAGTTCATCATCTGATCAGGATGGGTTTGATTTTCCTTCGAAGAAGAGGAAGCTTTTCCCGGATCAGTTCCTCGATGTCGGTTCGCCGTATCAAACCAGCGTTGATCTTCAAGTTAAAGACCCTCTGCCATTGGACTGGGAACAATGCCTTGATCTTGAAGTATGTTCTTTTTTTCTCATGAAATCTTTCATTTTTGGTTCGTATTCCTCCATGTACACACATGCACATATATGTATATAATGTTACTCGATTCGGGGTTTTTTTTAAGAAAAATGAAGAGTTGATGTAACGTTGTATATTATTTTGATGGTTCTTTGCAGTCAGGTAGAATGTACTACATGAACAGGAAAACCTTGAAAAAGACATGGAGTTGGCCAAAAGATCAGAAACTCAACCTCGAGCTCAACATTTCGCCGACGAACTCCGATGTCTCGGAACATTTCAACGGTGGTTCGGTGTCGGTCGAAGACTCCGACTACAAGCACCAACAACATTCTTCGAGCACCACTAACATGGTGGCTTTGCCATGCTTGAATTGCCATCTTCTTGTCATTCTCTCCAAATCTTCCCCTGCTTGCCCCAACTGCAAGTATGTCCACTCTCTTCCTACATTGCAAGCCACCAAGTCTACCAGCACCTTGAGCCTCTTAAACTAAGACAACTGTGTTGAACCCGGGTCTAGCTCGTGTTAAACCCGAGTTTAGCCAGTGTCGAACCCGGGTTTAGCAAGTCTAACATCGAAATCTCAACATCTGTAATCATTTTCCTTATCGCGGGTTATGACTTTTAGGCAAAAAAAATTATATAAAAAAGGGAACTTTGGAAGAACTTGTAATGTTTAGTTCAATATTAGGCTTCAAGGCTGTACTCAATAACAGTAAATATAATCTTTCCCTTTTCATGTAATTCACTTTGTTATGTGTATATGTTCATAAGAGAAAGGAATATGAATTGTTTAGATATCGAACTCGATATTAGGGGTGAGCATCCGATTGATTTGGTTTTATATCAATGATCGATTAATTTATCAAAATCAAACGAACTTTATTATCAAAACTCATCTTAATCACTGAAATAACTATTTACTTATCCCTACTCAAGAATGATTTTAAATAAAGATGTTATACAAATCGTTTGTTATTCTATCCCAGATCGAGTCGAGATATATATTTGTATTTATTATTATTTGGTAGGGGAGGCATTAAATTTGCAGAATGAAGGTCTGCCCAAATATTAAGGCCATTTCAGCAAGAAAGTAATGAGGTTTAGCTACTCAAAATTTAAAAGTACATGAGCTTTCAATGACAAATGTTAATGTTTTGTCCCCCATTTTTTATGTTTTCACCTTCTAAAAATCCAAGAAATTACTTTTCAATTAAATAGTACAGATATATTTATGGTAAACATGGAATGGTTTTTTTAATTGATTGAATTAAATATAAAAAATTAGGGTAAAGTACAAATGGTCCCCTAACTATAGGATATTATTTTATTGAGTCCATTGACTATAGGTTGTTGCTTTGTTGAGTCCACCAATTATTAAATGTTACAAAATGATCACTCGACTATTCATTATATTCTAAATTCGTCCTTTTTCGTTAAAAAATTAATGGTCACCTGAGTTGGACGTTAACATGATGATTGAGATATTTTAGTCATTTGAGATTATGACATCAGATTTTATCATATCTCAGTCAGTAGGTTAACGTACAGCTCAGCCCGTCATCAATTTTTTGACGGAAAATGACGAGTTTAGAACATAATGAATAATTAATTGACCATTTTATAACTTTTAATAGTTAAGGGACTCAACAAAGCAACTCTCTATATTCGAAGGACCATTTTATAACTTGTAATGGTCGATGGACTTAAGAAAACAGTATCATATAGTCAAGGGACTGTTTATGTACATTACCCTAAAAATTAATCTGATCTTAATAATCTCTAAAGTAAGTGAATTCTGAATGCAATCATGTTGCTGAATGTTTAAAGGCATTCTGTAAATTTGTGCTTTTTTTCATTGCAAGTGTTTAAGCTTTCTGCAGCATTATACACGACTGTGAATTTTCTACCCGCCTTCCAGTTGGATCGATCCTACGGCTTCGTGCTGCTGCTATAACAGCTTTATCAGAAAATACACAAACTGATTCAACCTTGATTCTCAGACTTGCACGCCAATTTCTTTATGCAAGGAAAACTAATGGAATTAAGATCGAATCGGATCCAACCAAATGTTCTTCTGAAACAAGAACAGGTGAAGTATTTGATCATGTCCGTGTTATAGACATGCACGTATCTAACACTTGTACTCGAGTCCTAGTGATATAGATGTCGAGTTCGCTGCGTAAACTATGCAGTGAGTAGAAATTTTACTAAATGATTGAGTACTTGTGCAGTGAGCGAGGATCAAAGTCAAGAGGCTTCCCTCTATCACGGGCCGACAGTAGATAAAACCGTGTCGGCATCGGCAACAGCAATAGCGAGATGGTTTATCCTTTTCCTGAAGATCCGAACCAATCAGATGACGATCCGATATCTCAGTTCATGAAAACTGCCTCTACATCCGAAAACGAATCAGCCAATGATCCGACCTAGATGTTTTTACTGGGTCTTCTTATTCATATACTACCTCAACCACCAAACTTAAGCATCCCACTCTGGAAAAGCTGGGGAGTTCAAGACGACAATCAGAAGTATAAGGCGGTCATCGTAAACCGAGAAGATCAAAAAGATATCGTGGTCGCGCCTAATATGTTCTTTGATCATCTCCCGTGGAGGTCTGAGCGATGAACTCTTTCGTGCTTATTTGATTGTTGTTATCATGTTACAATATCGACCGAAAGACGCGGACCGTTTGAATGACTGGTCTTTCTTCAGGTGTATCAAAGCAACGCAGAAGGTTTTGGAAGCCGGAAATGCCATAGATGCGCCGGTTGAACCCGAAGTTGTGTGACGGACATCTTGTAATACCGACTAAAAACTCGACGGTGTAGGCTTTGTCGGGAATTCAGCTACATTGCCGGAATCCGCCCATCTGGAGTTGCAGTTGTTGTATTTTACACCCTTGACATTTACATACAAATTTGGCGAAACTTCCACCAATCCATTCCTATTGCAAAATCAGGTACTTTGATTGTTAAGATGGTGAGACTCTATTGTATATTGTTTTGTAAATACATTAATCATCTTCACGAATTAACTAATCTTCTCGTGTTGTAGTCGATCATTCACCTTTATTTTCTTGTTTTAAACCGGACTCATAACCAACTTCGATCATTAAGAAAATTAACGGTTTCTTAACGGTGACGTTGACGTGTTACCATAAAGTAATGTCATGTCATCATTAAAAAAATTTAAAATTTCACTCAACAGTTCTGTTAACTTTTTAACGGTAGATGACCAAAATAAATCAAAATATAATGTTGAGTGATCAAAATAAAATAAAAATGATAATTGATGTACTAGACATATAGTTTAACCTAAAAATTAATGATATTGTTGACAAAACATTTATTATTATTAGGGTAAAGTATACAAATGGTTTGGATTATAGGCGTTTTTTATTGAGTTCCTTAACTATTAAAACATATAAAATTATCTTTTCATTATAGGATGATGCTTTGTTGAGTCTCTCAACTATTAAAAGTTATAAAATAGTCACTCGACGACTATTCATACGTTACAAACTCATCTTTTTACATTAAAAATAACATTTGTCTAAGCTTGATATTAACTTGCTGGCTAGAATATGATAAAATTTGATCTTAGAACCATTTGAGTTGTATATTCGTTTGAGATTTTGGGATGAAGTTTTATCATATATTAGTCAGCATGTTAACGTCCAACTCAAAAGATTATATTTTTAACGGAAAATGATGAGTTTGAAACATATGAATAGTTAATTTATCATTTTGTAACATTTAATTGTTGGGGGACTCAATCAAACATCAACCTCTAGTTGGATGATCATTTTATAACTTTTAATAGTTAAGGGACTCAACAAAATAACACCCTACAATCGATAGACCATTTGTGTACTTTACCCTTATTATTATTATCATTATTAATTTTCAGTCATTTTATCTTTTATTACCATCGACACAATGTAATTCTTTAATTAATTTTATTCGATCACATATAAAAATTAATAATTATAAATATTAATGTTATTTTTTTAATGATGAATGATCAAAATAAATATAAAGGTAAGTTATGATTTTTAAAAAGTAATTTGATGATCAAAATAATAAGATATAAATAAATAAATGATAAAAAATTAATTTATCCTTATAATAATAAGGGTAAATTATATCAAAATTCATCAAACTTTAGGTATTATATTGTTTATACCATTAAAGTTTTTTAATTTTATCAATTATAGCATTGAACTTTGATTTTTATTTCAATTATGTCATTGGGTCATTAAATCGTTAACAATAAGATCAAGACGATATCATTTTGATGAGGTGTTTAGGTCGACAGTAGTCACCCACCTCAATAACCGTCAATCACGTCATCATGTCATTAAGGATTCAACGGTTCAGTGGTATAATTAAAACTAAATCAAAGTTCAATGTTGTAATTGATAAAATTAAAAGTCTAATAGTATAAAACGATATAATACCTAGAGTTTGATATTATTAGACGTAGTTTACCCAAATAATGATCCCAAGAAAATCAATAATAAATAAGTTCACGCGCAGTACCTCTTTGCCAGCTTGGGTTCAGACAAAGCCTTCCCCACATCCCATTCCCCTGTCTTATATCTCTTTCCTTTGCCTTTTGTCCTAATCACCAGAAAGCCTCCCACCGCACAAACAACCGAATCATGTCGGACTCCGACGAAGACGGTGGCGAAGAGTACCTTTTCAAGATAGTCATAATCGGAGACTCAGCCGTCGGCAAATCCAACCTCCTTTCGCGCTACGCTCGAAATGAATTCAACCCGCATTCCAAGGCCACCATCGGCGTCGAGTTTCAGACCCAGAGCATGGGAATCGACGGAAAAGAAGTCAAGGCTCAGATTTGGGACACCGCCGGTCAAGAAAGGTTCCGTGCCGTCACCTCGGCTTATTACAGAGGCGCTGTCGGTGCTCTCATTGTTTATGACATCAGCCGTAGAACAACATTCGATAGTGTCGCTCGTTGGCTTGATGAACTCAAGAGTAAGCTTTTTAACTACCCTTTTCTTTGTTTATGGTTTTTGTGTTGAATTTGAGTGAATATATGTGGAATTTTGAGAGTTGTGGTTTTTTTGCTGCTGAATTAGAGGGTTTATGTCAGTGGTTGTTCTTAGCTGTTGATATTATTTTAGGTTGATATAATGCTTACACTATCATTAACTAAATCGAAATCAATTATGCGCTTAAACATTGTAACCCCCCAGACCGATGCGGGTAGCCCGATCCGATTCGGGAAGTCACATTAGGGTCACCGGAGCGACCCACCGTAAAAATAGCGGAAATTTTAAAACTTTTTATCAGAACATGTAAACTTATAAAATCATTTATCACTATTTAAAAATAAAACAGATTTCCAAACTCGTATATAAATCAAAATACAATTACATGCCCCCTAATCACAAATACCATACTCTGCAACCACGCCGGAAGAACTCCCTTACTGAAGTCGATAGATGCATTAGTACAATTGTTTTAACCTGAAAAGGTGAGTAATAGAATGAGCTTTGGAAAGCTCAGTAATACAGAACTACCAGATGATGCTACATGACATGTAGATAAATAGAAAGCCATATAATTTCCTTATTGAATCATATGTATACCAGCTTGTAGAATAATTTGGGGTTCCCTTAGAAGTTCATCGAGTAGAAGCCATGAATCTCAGTTCATAAGAAACCTTTCATACAATCACGTTTTCATGAGGTCAAATAGGATGTCTAGTGTGTTTCATCAATACGATAAATCATAATAGGTACACTAATCAAATGATAGTTCAGTAAAATCCCATAAACCATATTGTAGTGGAGCTTTTTAAACTCGTATTTTAAAACCATCTTACAAAGAATTAACCTAAGGGAACATCTTAGGGCCTGAGAGCCTACCCAAGATAGATTTCGGGGCCGTGGGGCCTACCTAAGAACACATCTTAGGGCCGCAGGGCCTACCCGAGAATGATCTCAGGGCCGCAGAGCCTACCTAAGTGTCACATTAGGTCCATAAAAATTTTCCAGCTTGATCAGAGCTGTACTTTACAAATCTGTATCTCCAAGATACAGTTTATACAATGATACAAATCCATAAGCCATCACCGTTAAGTCGGTGCATCCATAAAACAGAAACCATAGATTTCAGTGTACCACGTGTTAAACAATAAAACAATTATTTTCAAAATATAAGGAACACACTAGAGAATCCATATATTTTTCAGACGCATTTTGTAGTTATCAATATAGATAACACGAACTTGTGCAATTTGATCAGATTCCAGGAATAAGATCTCATTGAAGAGAATCGATTTCTAACCGATATAATCAGACATTTCTGATTGATACTTTAGAATTCCACTAAGTTTCCATGTGCATCAGGAAAACGTTCAGGAACCTTTTTACATAATAATTCTAAATTCAGATTTACTGCGAGTGATTCCATTACCCAAACAATCAGGGTATTCAGGAATATACTTTGAATTCATAGGATTTCAGCCCAATTGTACCAAATGAGGTATTCAGAATCTTTTCCTTCTGCGTTACTTGCGTTTTCAAACATGACCGAATTGATTTTAGATCAAATATGTAATCGAAGATTCAAGTCATTTACGATCTATGACTATCGATAGTATTATCAAACAACTCAAGTTACACAACTCACAGACTGATGCATGTCAACAAATCAATTCATTATCCTTCCAATGCATTCACTCTTTAATACCAAAATGCATATCAATAGATCATCCTCATAATTATCGCTGAATAGATCTTCCAACGGTCTTTATTACATTTCCATGTTTCAACGATATCAGAAAATATGGACGTACTTGATTCATGTTCATAACCCATAAGGACAATTCATACAATGTTTCCAAACTCATCCAATCACCTATTTAATCCTCGGTCATTGAGGTTACTTAGTTCATTTAGTAAGCAAGTTTATCCCGATTACTTTAGAGTTTTCCAGAATAGTTCAGACATTTCTGAATCTCAAATACATGTTGCACTTCCTTTCAATTCAATTTAGTCATATAATAAAGTCATTCTGGTATTCGTGGTTGATTTATCTCACGAATACCCACTTATTAGTACTGTATGCACTCTAAAGTTGAGCTGAACCAAGTACTTCCAGAATTATCATCGATCCAAATTTGAGAAGACGAACAAACATTCAAGTGGTAATTATATCATTCAGGTAATGATATAGCACTAGCGTTGGTTGATCACTTAAGTTGCGTTCCATAACTTTACTGGTAGCACAACATCCATGTTTATTTGGATTCTTAATTAATCCAAGACATTTACTTATTCTAGGTCATAAGGGCATTTGGTTCTCAACGTTTTTATATTCATTACAAAGCTTTGAGTATATCCATTCATTCATGAGCTTGGTGACATTCTTGAGTCATTTCCATTCCAGGGGTATTTTGGTCATTTTACAGATCCAATGTATTTCCATCATTTCCTTACGTCTGATCTTATTATTTAATTTAATCTTATCACTTACTTCAGTCCTTTCAAACAATTCTGACCAAATAGCACATTCGATAAATCATTCTTCAGGTATTTACTCAATTCGGTAATTTCCAGGTTAAATGTCTTTTCAAATGTTACTAACGAATTTTCAGAAAATTTTCCATACAAAGGTAGGATCTCAACAACCAAATCAGTAATTTATCGATTTAAAAACAAATTCTCAGGTTACTCTCTCATTCAGAGTCAACTTGGACTATTTTACCTCTCAAGGGCATTTTCGTAATTTCTTAACCAGATAATTTCGGTATTAACTCTTAACAAAAATAATATAATTTGGAGATCCTATATTAATTGCTTTCCCGAACATTCTTTGATCTTAAAATGATTCTTTAACCGACTTCTAGTATCTTGCACAAACCCTCGGGTTTAAAAACCGGTTATCCGTATTTCCTAAGCAAAACTAGCATTTCTTATGCACATATGAAATTTTACCGAATCAATATATCTTTTCAGAGTTATTAACCAACTTCCAAGGACAATTCTTGTCATCTTACAATATAAGGGTATTTTCAGAATTTTACCCTACCGGAGTATTCTCATAATTTCTCATCCAAGTACCTTTAACATTTAACCTTTGATGATATAAAATATAATTTACAAATCCATGGCCAATTTCTTTATCACTAATCACAACTTGTAATTTAATTCTAACAATCTTTCAATCTCTTATATTAGTCATTCGATCCATATTCAGTTACTGAATTTCTACCACATTCATATCGAGTGTATAAATTATTCAACTCCACAAAAGTGACCAACATTATCTTATCCATGCATTTACCAATATCAACATGTTTCATAAAGCATAAAGAGGTAGTAAAGTATTACCTCGATTTCCGTGCAATACCGATCGACCATAAAAATTCCATTCGAACGCCTTTGATCTTCAATTCAACTTCCAATAATTCCTCAGATACATATCAACATAAATTATATCAGAAACGAAGCTTAATTACGATAAACGGATCGAATTGGGTGATAAATCAGTGAAAGACGGCTTACCGGGTTCGAATTTGACGAAACGGACTTCGGATTCGGATTCAGGACGTCGAAAGCATAAAATATGACTTTTCGGAAATTTGGAATATTCGGTCAAAATCAAAGTCAACGGGTTTGACCGGCAATTTCGAGGCCTTCGGGTCCGAATTTCAAGAAACGGACTGCGGAATCGGATTTGGAACGTCGAAAAATGTCAGGATATGTATACTCGGTCAAAGTCAAAGGTCGTTTAATGCCCGGTCAAAGCCAGTCAAAGTTTTGGTCAACAGTAGTCAACGGTCAACGGGTCAACGGTCAACGGGTCAACGGGTCGGGTCAACGAGTCGAGTCGGGTCAACGGGTCGGGTAAACGGGTCGGGTCGGGTAAACGGGTTGGGTCGGGTTGTGACCGGTCAAACCGGTCAAAACAGTTCCAAAACCGGTCAAACCGGTCACTTTTCCCTTCCCCACGCGCAGTGGCGGCGCGTGGAGGCGCGTGAACAGTGATAAAATCCCGGAAAAATTTCTAAAAATTATTTTGAGCGATTTCGAGATACTTACAAAGCTCGGTTCACAATTTTGAACGGCGGAGAGCTCGATTTCAACAAATCGGGAAGTTTGACCGGTTCACCTCCCAACGCGCCGCCGCCGCCGGAGAAAAAGGAGAACACCGGTGGACTCGGAACGGCACAAGGAACACGATGGTGCGGGAGGTGTCGTAAACGGATGACCCGATCGTCGTGAATCGATGAAAAACCAACTAAAACCGAGTTATTACCGACGATACTTCCGACTGAAATTCACGACGAACGGCGATGATTCACGACGAAAGGTTTGAGGGGTTTTGTTCCTCGGTTCACAACGAACACGATGGTTGTTTCGGCTCGTCGTTTGGAGGTCGGACGGCGAGTAGATCGGAGTTGGAAGTTGGGTTGCTAGAGAAGGGAAATCTGAAAAATTTCTGCTGCCTGCGCACGAGAATCAGATTTATAATTCAACATAATAAAAAAATGGTTAAATCATGGGTTTAGCCACTGAACTTTCTGCACTTCTGAAAACGGTTTGCCAACTTTAGAACTTTACAATTTAATCCCCTGTTTCTTTCAAAATACCAAATTAAATCCACCAATTTATATTTTCTTAAATTTAGCCCCTAAATTGGGGTGTTACAAACATGTTCCAACTCGCGACCTTAATCGAACTAAGACTCAGTTAGTCAGCTGTTGATAATCTTGAGTTGGATTTGATTTTCGTATGCTTGTTCTTGGCTGTTGATAATCTTTTAAATTGATGCAATGCTTACACTATCCTTAGCTAAATCGAAGTCAATTGCAATCATAAGCACACTCGACCTCACCGATGTAAGGTCTTAATCGAACTAGGATAAGCAGTCAGCTGTTGATAGTCTTGAGTTGGATTCGATTTTCGAATGGTTGTTCTCAGCTATTGGTAATCTTTTAAATTGACGCAATGCCTACATTATCCTTAACTAAATCAAAGTCAATTGTATGTTTTAACACGCTCGAACTCACGACCTTCGAAATGTAAGGTCTTAATCGAATTAAGATTCAGTCAGTGATTGTTGATAATCTTGAGTTGGATTCGGTTTTCGTATTTGATTTCGTGAATTTAGTTCAAGAAAGGAGTTTTATGTAAAGATCCATGGAAATTTGTAAGGCTTTTTCGTCTTTGTTTAAGGATTCTATTTTGATGGTGCTGATTCCATTGATTCTTGTGGTTTGGAGTATTGGATCTGATGCTGAAATGATATAGGTTAAATTCTATGGATAGTCCTTGCATTTATTGATTTGTGCGGATTTAGTCTCTCTATTTTTATTTGCTCAAAATGGGTCTTTTACTTTTCAAACTGCTCATTTTCAGTCTTTTGGATAATGTTTTTCTTAACTTTGTTCGAATTTGTCTACTTTGGCAAAATAAAAGGTTGAGGGCTAATTAAAGCAAAAGGAAAGAATAGGGTCCAATTTGATAACCAATGTAAAGGTTTGATGTTTAAACTTTTGATTGTTCCTAATTTTTAAATGGAGTTAGCAGAGAAAGTAATGCATGGGACTGAAAATGAGCAATTCAAAAATTCGAAGGACCAGTTTCGAGGATCCTTGCAAAATGATAAGTGGAGGGACTATCCTTAAATTTAACCAAATAAAAATAGAGAAAACTTGGCTGTTTAGGGTTTGGTTTTCTGGTAGGGAACGGTGGTTTGGTTTTGAAAATAATGTGGTAGATGCATTCTATTAGAAACAGATTCGAATATTAGCCGAACCTAAACCGAATGGAACTCAGTAGGAACTGAGTCATTAACCGAGCCGACACTAAACCAAAATCAGTACAACCTGAAAAGAATATGTTCGATTATTAGTCGAACTGAAATCAAACCAACTTCCATACCAAATTGAACGTTATGGTTTGAGCTCCTAAAGCCTTACTGCATGACCACGATATACGGCAAGGATTGTGCTCACTTAAAATCTTTTGTGCAGCTCATTGTGATACGACGGTGGCAAGGATGTTGGTTGGCAACAAAAGCGATCTCGAAACCATCCGAGATGTGAGCGTCGAAGAAGGCAAGACCCTAGCTGAAGAAGAAGATCTGTTCTTCATGGAGACATCTGCTCTAGATTCAACGAATGTCAAGAAGGCATTCGAGCTTGTCATACGAGAGATTTACAACAACGTCAGCAGGAAGGTACTGAACTCAGATACTTATAAAGCTGAATTAACCGTCAATCGGGTAAGCCTTACTAAAACAGAAACCGATGCATCGAAGCAAACCCGGAATTTTTCTTGCTGCTCCAGCTAAGATCAGGTTCTTTCAGAAGTTGTACAAGATGAGCCCTTCCTGTACTTTTCCGATTCGATTTGGTCAGTTGGTTCGTTTTTCTTCGTGTTATACGGATGGATACGTGTCTTCCGGGATTCGTTATTACCGAACAAGATTGTATCATATGGTTAAATTATGTCTTCGTGTTTTCTGATTACGAGGTTTACCTGCTTAAAGTGAAGCAGGCTGCCATATTTGTTCACATTGTATTACTATATGTTTAGAACTTGATATCTTGCTATCAGTCATTATTTCTAGTAGACATTGATGGCATGTTATATTTCATTACTTAATCTATTACTCCGAATGTTACTCAAATTCGGATTCGAATATTATCATTAGTTTCCGATCGGGCCGAACGGATAACCCATATGTGACTATAATATAGTCACTAGGTTCCGATCGGATCGGGTGGATAATCTGTGTGACTCTAAACTCCTTAAATCCTACAATCTTAAATGATAAAACGTAAACTAAACGTTATATAATAATTAAATTATGTACAATCTTTCAAATCCTTAAATCGAAATTCATTGTACTTAAACCAATGATTATTATTATGAGTTGATTCGATTAGTTAAATATATGGGCAAACTATACTTTTAGTACATAAATTATCAATTTTGATCTGTTTTAGTATTTAAATTTTAATTGTTTTCAAATTCATACCTAAAGTTTAGTTTTGTTTCATTTTAGTATTCCTATTCAAAATTTAATGTTAAGTTCTGAATTTTTTTTTGAAAGTTTAAGTACTAAAACGAATAAAAACTGATAGTTTAGTAATAAACGCGTTAAAGTTTTAATGGAAATCAAATAAAAAAATAACATTATGTATGATTTTGAAAAATTTAAAAGTTTAGGTACTAAAATGAATCAAAATTGATAGTTTAGGTCCTAAATGCATAGTTTATCCAAAATATATTTAGTAGTACCTTAACGAGAATTAAGGATAAACTTTTAACAACAATCTCATTTGATATGAAACTAATAGGAGCGGACAAAACTCGATTCGACTCGAAAATCAATTCTTTTGATTTGACTCAATTCAAAAAAATTTAAGTTCAAATCAAGTTGTAAAATATAACTCAAATTTTTTAGTAATTAGTAGATTGATTTTCAAGTTTGAGTCGAAATTTGCGTCGAGTCCCTCGACTTTGTTAGATATATGTAAATCACATATGAAAAAAATATGAAAAAATATATATGTATTGTATATGTTTATAAGATAACATTTAAATTGGAATCAAAATAATTTCATAATATTGTAACTATTTACAAGTAAATTTAGATAGAAACTCGAAAATTTGACTCTACTCAACTCGACTCGAATTTTATAAATTTGGCTTGAAAAAATTTCATGTCAACTCCGAGCTATAAAATATGACTTGTCAGCTCAGTTGGTAGAGCACAAGGTTCTTAACCTTGAGGTCGTGGGATCGAGTCCCACGGTGGGCAATTTATAATTTGGAGGTCTCCCACAGAAGCTGCTCTCAACCTGACGTTGGGGGCAGCCTACTATCCTACCTCCTCCTTACCCCATTACATATGGGAATAAGGGTCAGCTAATTTTGTCAACTCGAATAACTCGAAATGTTTTTACTCGACTAAATCGAACGCTCACCCCTAATAACTAAGATTAATATAGACTTTTGATCAAATATTATGAGATCAAATATAACTAACATTAAATTATTTTAGTACCCATTTCAAAACTTAACGTTAAGTTTTGAAAAAAAAATGAAAGTTTAGGTACTAAAATAGACCAAAGCTAATAGTTTAGGTACTAAACACATTAAGTTTTAAATAGTGAGTACCCAAATGAAATGAAAACTAAATACTAGATATGATTTTAAAAAAATGAAAGTTTAAGTACTAAATAGGACCAAAATTGATAATATAAGTACTAAATACGTAATTTACTATATATTTTATCATTATCATTTAATTAAATAATAAACTAAATAATTTGATTGGATTATAAATCATAATGAATCAATTTTTGGGCCCCTCTTATATTCCAAAAATGCAATGTCGTCAAAGCTCCTCCTAGTCTTCACTGCTTTTTTGTTTTCTTTTTCTTCCTCTAAAGCAAATTCCCATTTTACATCCAATATGGAAAAGGTTAAATTTCACCACATGTCACTGAATTATTAAAAAATTATAAATAAGTCAATAAATTTTTAAGAAGTTATAACTAAGTCACTTAACTAATAATAGTAAGATTATAATCGAGTTATTGAATCTCAAAAAATTACAAATAAATCACCCAATTATTTGATTGCTTCAAACAAATCACTTTATTGCGTGACTAAAGTTAAACTCTTTAGTAGAGTGTATGCGGTTCAGTTCGGTTTAAGTTTTAATTTTTTTAATAATCAATAGATTTTTATTGGATTAACCATAGTTTTTATGTTTTCTATATTAACTTCAAGTTTTGGTATTTTATATTTTATTTTGATAAAATATTTTTATTTTATAATTTTCAAGTAAATTTTAAAGTTTTTTTCATAAATATTTTAAAAAATATTTTTATGTGAATAGAAGTTCATTAATAATTGGTATATAGCATTTTAGATGATTTCACTATTTTTAAGTATAAAATATATTTTTTATCTTATAAACAATTAAAATTAATTATGAATTAAATAAAAAATTTAATTTAGTTAAAATAATCTTTTTAAATTTATGAATCATAAATCGTCCAAAACACTATAATTTAGATAGATTATTTATTTATTTATTTTGCTCAACCATACTTTTTAGTTATAAGTAGGCAAAAAGATATTATAGGTCCTATACTTTTAAAAAATCAATGTAGCCCTCATATTATTTTTATCTCTAAATGTGGCCCTCCAACTTAGAAACAAACCCAATATGATCTTTTGACCAACGTTTTTCGTCATTTGATCGTTATGGTAATGAGGTGACAGTCCATTTTCCATGTTTGAATTATCAATTTAGCACATCTGTCATGTTATCAATGTAGCACTGTGAATTGCCACATTAGTACCGTAACGGTAATAATGAAAATTGTTAGCCAAAGGACCACATTGAGAGAGAAAATAATACGGGGATCATATTTGTTTTTTTAAAAAGTACAGGGACCTCAAATATCTTTTTGTCTTATTAGTATAATTGAGTGATTTGCTTGTAACAAATCAATAAATTAAGAAACACTTGTGTAATTTTTTTGAAAGTGCCCCATTTGTAATCTTCCTAATAACGAAACGACCTGTGATGTATTTTACCCTAAAAGAAAGCTTTGGATTAAAATAAAAGAAAAAAAAAATCGATCGATCTAGAGAGAGAAGAAAAACCAGTGATTTCGATTTTCAATTGAAGCTTTTTGAAGTATGATTCTTCGTGTGATAAGCTCTCACTATTCGCTTCTTCTGCTTCTAATTTGCTTCTTCGTAGCTTCTTCTTCCATAACCGGAGCTCTCAGTTCCGGCGTTATTCATGTCAAGTACAAATTCGCCGGCAGTCAACGCTCAATCGTTGACTTAAAAGTCCACGATAGCCTTCGTCAACTTCGGATTCTCACCGGCGTTGATCTTCCCTTGGGCGGTTCCGGTCGACCCGACGGTCTTGGGTAACTGTTCCATCTTCCCTCTTCTTTTAATCATTGAATTTGCTATTAGAAATTCGATTGAGAAAAAGAAAAGTTTGTGATCTTTTTTTTTTCGTTTTGATTTTGGTTTTTTGTAGGCTTTATTACGCTAGAATAGGGATAGGAACACCTTCAAAGCATTACTATCTGCAAGTAGATACTGGAAGTGATATAATGTGGGTTAATTGTATTCAATGCGAAGAATGCCCCAAAAGAAGCTCTCTTGGTGTAATTCATCCCTTTTTAGTCTTTCTTTATTGAAAGTTGCAATTGAAATCAATCATTACAAGCATTGAACTGAATAACTAACTCAATTCATACTAACTCACCAGAATGAATCTGGAGAGAAAGACGATGAACATTAAGCCAAGGCCTCGTTGGATTCTTTAGCTTTTTTTGGTTGTGACTTTTACTGATTATATTGTGACTAGGGCTGTTCATTCGGTTAATTTGGTGGCCGAACCGACTGAATTACCATTAATCGAACTAATCGAACTTTTTTTTCTTTAACCGTTAATCGAACTGAACTTTTTTTCGAAAATATTAATCGAACCGAATAAATTTCGGTTAATTTTCGAATTAACTGAAATTTTTTTAATTTATATAAAAATTAAATATTTTATAATTCAAAAAAATAGTTTATAATTAATTTAAATAATATATAATTATAAAATAAAAATTTTATATAAACTTTTTAATTAATTAATATTGATTTATGTTTAAAAGTTATTGGATATTAAATTATTAATTGGGTTTTAAATAGTTTGGGCTAAGTCCATATGTTATATAATATATTTAATATTTTTTAATTCAGAAAAATAATTTACAATTAATTTAAATAATATATAATTATAAAATAAAAATTTTATATAAATTTTTTAATTAATTAATATTAATTTAGGTTTAAAGGTTATTGGATCTTAAATTATTAATTGAGTTTTAAATGGTTTGGGTTGAGCCATATGTTATATATAATATATTTAAAATTTAAAATTTTATTTCGGTTAATTAACCGATTTCGAACCGAATTAACCGTTAACCGAATATCCAAAAAAACCTTCTCCGACCGAACTAATTCGGTGGCCGACCGAATTAACCGAATTAATTCGGTTCGGTCGATTAATTCGGTTAAAACCGAATTTTGAACACCTCTAATTGTGCCCATTTTAAATTTTTGTTTCTTAAAAAGGGGAGAAAGAAACCCCTTATTTATGGACTAAAAAGTAACAGCTGGAAGTAAAATTATAGTAAATCATTAAAAATGAACAAATGGTTAAAACCCATTGTTGGAAATTAGTTATCTGATTTTGCATTCAAACCTAAAAAGTAACAGTAGAAACAATGAATTGCTTTTGATGTTCAATTTGTCTAATATATTCACTTTGCTTATATAGCCAAATTTGTTATTAGGGTAACAAGTATCTTCCACACACATTATCTTGATGTCTTGGCATCTTTTATTACATTTGAATTTTTTGTTGTTTATTTATATTCTATGGTGACAGATAGATCTTACTTTGTACAATATCGAGGATTCTTCCTCTGGCAAGTTGGTTTCATGTGATCAAGATTTTTGTTATGCTATAAATGGTGGTCCATTGGCCGGTTGTATAGCTAATATGTCTTGTCCATATCTTGTCCATATCTTGAGATATATGGAGATGGCAGTTCGACTGCTGGATACTTTGT